TGGTCATGGAGAAATAACCTACCAGCTAGTGTGGAAGCTGAGGCTCAGAGGTGTCAGGGGCACCACTGCTCATCAAGGCCTAGCCAGGCTCCAACTCCATTGTGTCTGAAACCCTGTGGTCATCTACTGGGTCCTCTGGCGTGTTGCAGAGACACCCTGTCAGGCTCCCCAGGCCTGCGCTTTTTGTCACTTTCCTCATCACCCAGGGGATCACACAAGGCTGTCCTTATGGGGGCTTGTGAGGGTTGAGCAGGGCCTGTTTGTCTGCACCCAGCAGTGCCTGCTGGGTGGTGGGGATTCAGTCAGCTCCTCCCCCTCCTTCCAGGATTCAGTCCTGACGGTGAGCTCTGTCTCCCGGGGTCCCTCAGGGTATGAGGGAATGTGTGAGAAAATATTTTGTCAAGTGCCTATACAGGGCAGTGTTGTAGTTTTTCCTCCTCTGTCTCTGCCTGCTTGGGGAACCCCCAAATCTTCATGTTCCCCTCTCACTGGCTCTCACACCACAGCCTGGTGTGGATTTCCCTGTGCCCACTGACACCCAAGCTACACGGGTCCCAAAGCAGTTTGTTCTAATCAGCATTCCACCTACCCCTCTGGCCAGTGCCACCACAGTGCTCGTGACTCTTAGATGTCACCTTGTCTGACCCTTCTGTCACCATGCTGCTCAACCTCTTCATGCTGCTCCTCAGAACCCTCCTGTAGCCCTTCAGCCATAGGCCTGGCTGAGGGGTCTCTCTCCCCTCACCTGCCCCTGCCCCTGCCCCCTCTGCTTCCAGACTTTTCAGTTCCATGAAACATGAATAACCAGTGTCTCTGGTCCTTGTTATTTGGATAAAAGCTAAATTTTTTAGAGAGTTTTAATACCTGCCACAACAGTCACCAACTGCTCTTGGTGATGGCCAAGGTCCTTTTCCAGTGTTGTCACCAGCCCCCTCCCCACAGTCCCACTCTCCTCTTTAGCTAAGTGTCCTTATGTCCTGTTTCACTTAGAATTGTGTTCAGCTGCATGCAGTGGGAATTGACAGACAGTGCCCTGTAAAACAGGCGTTTGTTTTCACCTAACAAGTAGCCTAGAGGTGGGCGTTCCAGAGCAAGTTCAGCAGCTCTGCATTGCCACGGTCACCAGGCTTCTTCTGATGTCATCCAGTTTTCTCCAACATTAACATCTTATGTAAGCATCATTACCCTATCAAAACTAAGAAACACTGGACAGTACCATTAACTCAGCTAGGCAGGATTTGTTTGGGATTTATCAGTTTTTCCGCCACCAGCCTCTTTCTGTTTCAGGATCCAATCCACCATTCTATGTTGTGTTTAGTTGTTCTGTCTTCATAGTCCCCTGTCTATGAGACTTTTCTCAATCAGAAAGCTAGAGTTCTATATCACTTCTCCTAAGTTTTCCCATTCTGCCGTAATAATTTGGAAATTATCTGTTCTATTTATGGTATCTTATTCCCTTGAAATCTTTCCGTGTGTACTGACTTCCGCCACCAGGCCATAGCGTCATCGTTCTTTGTGGCTGCACAGAACTCCATGTTTCCATGTCATGATCTATTTCATAAGTCCCTTGTTAATGGACTTTCAGGTGGTTCTCCACCTCTTACTAGTCAAATAATACTGTAAAGAATAACCTTGTACTGATTATATTGTGGTGTTTTGCTCAAGTGGAAGTGTAGCTTATGCTACAACCTAGAAGTGGTATTTCTGGGTCAAAGGGAATATGCATAGATGTGGATAGATGTAGCCAAATTAGCCTCATTAGAGGTTGTGCCAGTTTACCTTTCCACCAGGGATGTGTGAGAGATTTCTCACATGCTTAGCAACAACATGTTCGCATTTGTTTTAATCTGACCGTAAAAAGTGTATTTCGGTGTTTTCATTTGCATTTCTCTTTTTATGAATGATATTGAGCATCTTTTCACATGTTTAAGAGCCAAAGTTATACCTTTTCTTTCTACATTTTTTTATATACCTGGCCCATTTTACTATTGTATTGCTGATCTTTTGCTTATTAATTTGTAGAAACTATTCTGGGAAATTAGCCCTTCAGTGAGAGTTGCAAATCTTTTTTTCAATTTATTATTATTTTTTCTTCTGATGGTTTTGTACCATGTATAAAGTTTATATTTTCTTGTAATCAAATTTATTAATCTTTACCCATAATCTTTTAACCCATAAAGTTTTATGGGTTTAGTGTCATTCTTAGCTGTTCCCCCATCTCAAGACTGTTGATACAGTTCACGTACATTTGTTTTAACTTTAAAATCTTTGATTTGTTTGAGCCTTGCCTTGGTATAAGAAGTAAGGTAGGGATCCAGCTTAATTTCTCTAGACAGCTACTCACTCACCCCAGTACATACCGCTTACTGAAGGATCTGCCTTTCCCCTTTGATTTAAAGTGCTGTCTTTATAACACATTAAAGCTCCACATGTGTTTGTATCTATTCATAGATTTTTGTATTCTCCTTCCTTGATTGTCTCTTCATGTGCCAATGCTGCACTGTTTCAATTACTGTAGCTTTCCTATAATTATTTCTATTCCTTTCCAGCTCATTCCCTGTCATGTTTGCCAAAGTGGCTCCACCCAGCCCTTTGCTTTCTTCAAGTCCCATCTTCTGTCAGCGCGAGGCCATTCCAGGTGTTGCTCCCCCCCACATACACACACTGCTCTGATACTTCTTTGTATTTTCCTCTTCCTGCCCCCTTGACTTAGCCCCTCCCATCAATCATCCTGCCCTGGCATCCCCCTTGAATCTTTCCGACTGTCTTTCTCCACAAACCTCTCCCCTGTCCCCAGCTTATCTGAGTTTCCTCTATTTTGAAAAACCTCTCCCCAGCTTTGCTACTTTCTCAATCTGGTGTGCTCTTACACATTTCTTTCCCTGACATAGTCACCAGAATTAATCTCTATTCACTGTCCCAGCTTTCTCACTAGCACGAATTCTTCGGAGCCCTGGTTTCCATCCCAACCACTTGGTTAAACTTGTTTCACGAGGTCATTGATGACCTCACAGTCACTGAATCCAGTGGTATTAGTTTCTCCCTCTTACAACTCTGCAGCATTTGAGCCGGTTGACACCTTGTCCCCGAAAGATAGCCCTTCCCTTGGCTCTGAGACGCCAGGCTGTCCTGAGTCCATCCTGCCTCCGGCCACTGCGCCATTGTCTGCTCTGATGCCTCTTCCTCTGTCCTTCCTTGATATGTCACTGTCTCCTTTGAATTCCTTCCTGTTGCCGTTACATCAACAAGGATACCCCCAAACCTACAGATTTCCAATTCCCCAGCTCTTCAACTCTAGGGCTGAATTTCCAAACTGCCTTCAGGAGACCAATTAAGAGGTTATTGTATCAGTCCAGGCAGGGGAAGATGAAGGCCTGATGGAAAGGAATGATTACCATCACCAGGGGAATTCAAAATAAAAATACCGGCCCAGCCGGCGTGGCTCAGTGGTTGAGCCCACAAACCAGAAGGTCACGGTTCAATGCCCGGTCAGGGCACATACCCTCGTTGCAGGCTCGATCCCCAGCGGTGGGCGTGCAGGGGGCAGCCAATCGATGATTCTCTCTCATCATTGATGTTTCTCTCTCTCTCTCTCTCCCTCTCCCTTCCTCTCTCTGAAGTCAATTAAAAAATATATATTAAAAAAATATAGCGATGCCCAGGGTGCTCCCCAAACCAGTCAAATGAGGATCTCTGGGATGGGCCCAGACATTTGTATTTATAAAATAAAAACTCCCCAGTGATTCCAGTATAGCCAAGTTTGCAAGCCTAGAGCAGGGTGAGAGAGGGAGGAATCTCAGATGACTCCTGCTTTCTAGCTTTGATAAGTGGGTAGATGGGTGTGTGGGTCACTAAAGCGGAGATCACAGAGGAAGGGTGAGTTTGGGGGAAGATGGTGGGTTCTACTAGAATAAGTTGGGTTTGAGCTCCCTGTGGGGCAACCAAGATCAGGGGTTCCACAGATGCTTGAATTTCCCTAAAGCAGGTCTTTTCTGCTCCTAATTGTTCCAAGCCTGCACTGACCTGGGACAGTTGAGTCTCACTCCCAGGGCCAGGGCATTGAAGCACACATACCTGGCTACAACCCATCTTCCCAGCCACCGCTCCAGGTCCTCTCTCCTACAGCACCCTACTCCCCAGCCTATAGAACTCCTCGCTAGCCCCCACAGTACTGCCTCTAAGTCTTTTCTGAAGCTGTATCCCCAAAAGGAGTCCATGCCATCTCCCCTGGTCAAAATCCACCCCACTCTCAGGACATCTCCCTGCTGTCCCCTGCCGGGAAGACTTCCATGGCATCTCTGGATCTTACCACCTCTAACTGGCATTTGTGGACAGTATCGTAGTTGCTGAGGATTGGAACCGTCTCCTCCTGTGTGATGTAGACATGGGTGTTACCATCTAGTAACCTACCTTTTGGGAGATTCCAGGACAGAGGGTCACCCCTTGCCTGATGGCCCTGCTACTGAGGGTCTAGTTGCAGATCTGCTGTAACTGTGAGCAAGCCTGGCGGGTTAGGTATAGGCTTTATCTATACCTAACACTCCCTTCACGAAGGTGGCTTCAGTGATTTTTGGGCGTGAGTACCGGTGGGGACAGGATGGGGAACTGGAAGGTGTGACGCATATCAGGACCTCCAAGGGGACTAGTACATTTGAAAAGCCCCTGAAAGTCATTCTCATGTGTCTTCTGTAGACTCGGGAACTCAAAGAGCAGGATGAGGCAAAGGAGGCAGGGAAAGGTGGCACAGGGGTGTATGACTCCATCTGGTTGATGGAGACTGCTCTGAACCCCACAGACCTGCTGCAAGAGCCAAGTAGGCCAAGGTTGGGAGGGGAAGTGACTTTGATACGAGGAGTGGAGGCTGTGGGATAGCACTGCAGGGTGAGGTGTCCTGCTCTGAAGGAGCAGAACAGGGAACCCTGTGCTGTGCCCCCAGGTGGATGCCCTCAGTCATGCGCACTCCCATCACTCTCTCCCTCTTTGCTGTCTTCTTTGCCCAGGCTGACGGGAACTGCCCTGTAGAGGTCCATCTGCGTCCAGACCCAGACGATGCCAGAGCTATGACTGGGCCTGTAGGCGTGGCGCCGAGGGGACATCAGCCATGGAGCAGCCACCGGAGGAAGCCCCTGAGGCCCGGGAAGAGGAGGAGAAAGAGGAAGTGGCAGAGACACAAGGAGCCCCAGCGCTCAACGGAGGACCAGAGCACTCGCTTCCTTCCAGCAGCTATACAGGTGGGCAGGGACACGGGCAGGGGCGGGTGGAGCAGGGGAGCTGGCCTCTGCCAGAGCCTTGTGGGGAAGCAGGGTAGCAGTGGCTAAGGACTGGGGCCAGACAGCCTCTGCTCTCACCCCGCTGTGCTCCTCAGCTGCAGGACCCGGGGCAGGAGCGCCGCTTCTGTCTAAAATGGCTCACAGGGGATGTAGGCATCGGCTTTTTGAGAGAGACTGGAATTAGCACGTGGCGTGCATGTGGTCATCTTTATGCCACCACTGCTACCACAGGGACCTGGGGCCCATCCACACTAACAACACACTAAAAGATCACTGAGCCTGTGATTGTTATCACTCAGAACACACAGCTCAGTTGGTCTGGGGCTGATTACACATCATCGAGCTGCAATGTAATGAGGCGTAAATGCTAGGCAGTTAGTCTGATCGACTATAATTAATATTACTTCTGTGCAGCCACAGTTTTTAACTTCTCCTGTCTCGCTTGTTGGGTCCCTTTATCCACTGTCAGGAGCAGTGTCAGCGTTTTTCTCTGGTATCGTATACTGTCAGTCACCATCATCATCATCATGATGATGTTCAGTCCACCTTCAAGGGCACCCAGACCCACTTTTCTCAACCCCTGGCTTTCCCTGCTCCCTGCCCCATCTGCCCAGCTTTTCCTTTCTCCCTCTGCCTGAGGGCCATCCCATCCCGCTGATCCTTGCTCCCTTCCTTTAGAGAACTCAGGGTCAGGATGTACTGCCGGGGGGAACACCCTGACCTTGCTGCCGGTTTCAGCCGACAGACATCCTGGCCAGGTGATAATTCAAAGCCTGTCTCATAAGCATGGGCTCTGGACCCCTGTGCCTTCGTGGGGAGAAGGAGGTAGATGGTGTCAGAGTTAAGAGTTAAGGTGACAGGCCCTGGCCGGTGGGGCTCAGTTGCTTGGGCGGCGTCCTGTGCACCAGTGGGTTGCCAGTTCCACTCCCAATCAGAGTATCTGCCGGGGTAGTGGGCTTGATACCTGGTAGGGGGTGTGCAGGAGGCAGCCAATCCATATTTCGCTCTCATATCGGTATTTCTCTTCCTCTCTCTCTAAAAATCAATAAGAAAAAAATCTGAAAAAAAAAAAGAGTTAAGGTTGGGGAGAGGTGCTGTAGAGGTAGGACAGGCTCCTGCCTGGGCCTGCATCTAAGAGAGCCCCGAATCCTTGAGCCACGCTACTTTGAACCTGCAAACAAATCCTGGAGCTTTTCAGAGCTTCTTCCTCTTTAGGGGAGAGTGAGGGGAGAGCCGTCACCCAGGCCCTCTGACCTCACCCAGACACCCAGGAATGACCAAAGTAGGCCTGTGTGATTTCAGGGCCCAAGAGAAGGTGTCCCCTCTCCCCAAGGGCAGCCTCCTCACTATTGGTTAGCTGGTGGTGGAGATGGCTTTGGAGACCCAGTCTTTCTCAGAAGAGAGGAATGGCTAACCAGGAGTGATCAGTCACTCAGCCCTAATAACACATACTGTTCTGAACTTGAGACAGATGAGGGGGGTAGGACGCAGAGGGAAGCCACTGGGGGCTAGAAATGAGTAAGTGATGTCACTGAGGACATCAAGTGAGGGAAAGGAAAGAGAGGCCACAGGGTTTATGGCCTCTCTGCCTTCCCTGGCCTACCTCGTCCCTACATCTGGACCCAGGCACATGTAAGTTGCCCGCAGATTCATGTCCTGTCCTGGGTTTCCTGCATACCCTTGTGGGGACCACCTCCCTATGCAGACCAGAGTGTGGTGCCCAGGTGCACAGGCAGGGCAAGGTGGGTGTGGTGATGGCATTTCAGGGAGTTTTATAGGTGGGCTTTAGGGCATGCAGGGAGATGTCTGGGGAAGAATTTGCCCAGCCACCCTGTGTTTGATGGATCCCGTATAAATAAATCAGTGAAGACTTTGTTAAGTGATTGAAAGAGGAGGGGATTGTCTGACATATCACCATATGTTAAAGCCATAGTATATGAAAACTTCCCACAAACTACAAGACAAACCACCAGGCAGAAAAATAGAAACAGGCAATTTTCTGTAGGATGAATACAAATGGCTAGAAAACATGAAACATTTTTCAGTCTCAACAGTCAAAGAAGGCATCTTCACATGAGATTGGCCGAGAGGACGGTGTTGGCCAGACCGCTGGTGAGGACACAGCCCTCCAGCCGCTGAGGGTGGAGGGCAGCTTGGCAGCAGCCAGCACTTTGCATGTGTGTTCCTTCGGCCCCACAGTCCCCTCCTAGGAGTGTATGCCCTGTAAACACTCACTCATTGCGCACGGAGCTGTCCACACTTGTTTACTGCAGCACTGTTCATAAAAGCAAAAATCAGAAAGCAGCCATCTGTGGGGAACTGGTTATGTAAACTGTGATAGAGCCATACTGTGGAATGTTCTAGTCATTAAAAAGGGTAAGGTAGGGTCTGTATGTACTGACAGGGGAGAAAGTTTCTGACAAATTGGGGATCTCCTTGTTTAAAAATCTTTATGTGTGCCCTGACCGGTGTGGCTCAGTTGGTTGGGCATCATCCTGTGCACCGAAAGGTCGCAGGTTCAGTTACTGGTCAGGGCACATGCCCAGGTTGCCATCTCGATCCCCGGTAGGGCATGTGCAGGAGGCACACATCAATGTTTCTCTCTCTCCCTCTCCCTTCCTCTCTTTCTAAAAAATCAATAAAAGCCTAGCTGGGCGTGTCTCAGCGGTTGAGTGTTGACCTAGGATCCAGGGGATCGGGGTTCGATTCCCGGTCAGGACACATGCCTGGGTTGCGGGTTCGACCCCCAGTCGGGGACATGCAGGAGGCAGCCGATCAATGACTCTCTCGTCATTGATGTTTCTCGCTCTCCCTCTCCTTTCCTCTCTCTGAAATCAATAAAGACCTATTTAAAAATAAATAAATAAATAAATAAATATAAAAAATCAATAAAAATAAATAAAAAGAATCTCCACTCCATCGATTCCAAAATTTTAAAAAATTCTGTGTATCATAAAAGGCACTAGAAGAGTAAATGGAAGGGACAAATGGGACTGACTCAGAGGTGGTCATGGGTGGAGAGGATCTGTCATAAGATGCTCCGCACCCTTGTGTATTTTTCCCAGCAAGCCTAGAGTACTCTCATACTTTAAAAAGCAGTTACATTGTTTTTCTTTAAAAGGTTAAAAAAAAGAAGGCCGCAGGTGAGGGTGCCAGAGACAGAGCCTCACCCTGTCTGTGTTGGAGATCACACACATCAGGGCAGGAGTCCCAGGTTGGCCACCAGGAGCGTGGCCCTCATGGTGCCCTCATGATGCCACAGTCTCTTCACCTTTAAAGGCTATGTCCTGCCCACTTTAAGGGCCAGCCAGGTGAGGAGTAAATGGTGCTGTGTGACACACCACAGGTCTCAGCACCTGCTGGTTCCCTGTCCCACCCCTATGAGTCTGTGACTTTGCCCTCTGGAGTCCCCTCAGGGATTCATGAGCTTGAGCCTGAAACAGCAGGAAGGCTGCACAGTTGGATTCCCTTCTGACCCTCCAGAGGTTCTGCGCTGACCTGCATCTCTGAACCAGCTCAATACCTGCCAGCACCTCCTACTCACTGCAGGGAGGCAGATAGGATAGGCCTCATTGTTAGCACTCAGCAAGAAGGAAACTCACATGCCCAGGGTCCCCCAATTGGGTAGGGACAGGGGCAGCTGGAGCTGGTGCTCACACCCCACTCCTGTCTTCATTCCTCCCTGCTCAGTGATGAACGTCCCAGTCACACCGAGAAAAAGGTCAGGGGTCTTAGTATGGGACTGAGGAAGATAAAGTGCCCTTCCTCTTGGCCTTGACACCTCTCACTCAGCAAAGGCTTGGTGAGTGTCCAGGCAGCTATTAGCAGAGGACAAGGCTGGGTGGCTTCCCTGAGGAGCCCACAGTCCAGGCAAACAGAAGTAAGGAGGCTGCTGGGGTAACCCAGCCCCAGAGTCCTGCAGAATTGGCTCATACTTCAGAAGCTGTTTGCCTGTGGTTCTGCCAGCAAAGTAAATAGACAGGGCTAGCCCCTCCCTGCCTCACAGCTATGACTGCAGCATACTCTGGCGATGGAGACGAGACGTGCAGGAGTGCTCAGCCACACATAATGACGGGAATAAGGCCACTTTGTAATCAAAGATGGTGCAACTGATACTTCACCATCTGGGTGAGGGGGCTAGTGTTTATGCCAAGTCCAAACAAGAGTAATGGCATAGTGTCATCCTCAGCAGTGGTGTGTCTCACTGTTTATCATAATCACAAATTATTCATCAGTAGTAATGGACACATGTTTATATGTATGGGAAGTTGTAGAGTGCAGTGAGTAAGAGCCCAGTCCTGAGGGTTGGATATAAATCTCACTTTGCCACTGTATTAGGGTTCTGTAGAGGAACAGAATCAATAGGATGTGTGTGTGTAAGTGTATATGTAGAGGGAGGGAGATTGGGAGACTTATTTGAAGGAATTGGCTCAGGCGGTTGTGACGGCTAGCAAGTCATTCTGTAGGACAGGCCAGCAGGCTGGACATCCAGGGAAGTTGATCTTGAAACTCAAGTCCAAATGTAGTCTGGAGACAGAATTCCTCTTTCCTCAGGAGGCCTACTCACACTATGGAGAGTAATGATTTAAATGTTAATCACATCTAAAGAATACCTCTGCTCTGGCTGGTGTTGCTCAGTAGTTAGAGCGTCAGCCAAAGGGTCTCTGGTTCAATTCCTGGTCAAGGTCATGTAGCTGGGTTGCAGATTCGATCCCCAGCCCCAGTCAGGGCACGTGCAGGAGGCAGCCAATTAATGTGTCTCTGTCACGTTGATGTTTCTCTGTCTTTCTCTACGCTCCCCTCCTTCCACTCTCTCTAAAAAAATCGATGGAAAAAATATCCTTGGGTGAGGTTTAACAAAAAAAAAGAATACCTTCACAGCAACATCTAGACTGGTGTTTGACCAAAAACTGGGTACCATGGCCAGTTAATTTGACACATAAAATTAACCATCAGAGCCACTGTCAGCATGTTACTTAACCTTCTGAACCTCTGTTATCTCACCTATAATATGGGGATAAGAAGACCTGCTGGAGGGTTGTTTCAAGGCTCAAGGAATTACTGATGTAAAGTGCCCGTGGCCTGCCTAGTGCATAGTAGGCATGCCCTAAAAGAGAGGTGTGATTGGTGTAGACACGGCCTTTGCAGGGAATTCAGGTTTAGGTTCAAGGTCCAGTCCCACCATGTATTCAGGTGACCTTGGGCAGATCCCTTAACCTCACTGAGCTTCAGTTTCCTCATCTTTAAATGGTGGCAGTTACTGTCTTCCATAGTGATATGAAATGATACTAATGGGCATACAGAAACATGCTTGGCATTTAGCAGGGGCCTGACAAATGCTGGTTCTTTCCCCTCCCTGGAGGTAGTAAAGGTAGAAGATATTTGGGGGGAGGGGTCAGGTAGGCTGTGGCTAGAGTGGAAGTTCAGAGGCAGGACTGAGGGCCCACATGATGGCCATCAGGTAAGCAAATGCATTTCCAAGAGCAGAGGAGGGGCTGGATGAGAGGATGCACTGGGTTGGCTGGAGAGAGCAACTCTGCAGGGAGATGATCCTCAAATGGCAAGCCCAGGGTCTCTCCCACCCACATGCCTAAGGGGCACCAAGGCAGGGGTTCCTCGTGTTGGGGAGGGCCTCTCGGAACCCCCATCCCCACCAGGAGGTCATGGGAGGTAATGCAACCTTCAGAACCTGGTCCCTAGAATGGGAAGCATCCTGCCACCATTACTTTCTGGTAGGATGTGGTGGTGATTTGAGGATAAACCCTTAAGCCAGTGGTCAACCAAGAAGAAACGGAACCTTTATCTTTGGGAAACCCACCCCAAAGCTACCACCACTTCAGTATCCCCAATACACCCCACAACAAAAGGCACCCTTGTGGGATGTGTGCACTGCTGCCCAGCTCAGCTCCTCAGCTCCCCAGCTCCCCTGCCTCTCTCTGTCTTGTGATCAGTCATTTGTGTTTTCTTATTCCCCTCAAATAGGCAGGGGGTACCCTTGTCCTATCACCCTGAGACCGCCAGGCCTCCCTGATTGCTCTTGAGTTTGGCAGCTTACACCTCTCCACCACCTGGAACAGGACCTCTCCCCAGACCCCCCTGCCTAGGACCTGTTTCTCCCCAATGTAGTTTGCAGCTCTTCCTACCCTGGGTCTCTCCTCACAAGCCAGAGCTAGGGCTGGCTCAGCGGCCAGTAGGGCTTGGGCATCTTGGCTTCTTCCAGGGTTTGGGGTAGTCCTGATACCCCTGGGGCCAGCAGCAGGCCAAATGATGCGAGAGGAGGCTAGGTCTTGTTCCAGGGGCTTTCCAGGCCTCATAAGCAGAGACACCCCCCCCACACACACACACACCCCCCCTTGGGTTTCTGTGAAAGCTGTGGGGGGAAGGAGACACCAGGAAGAAGAGAGAAAGAGAGAGGCATGGCCCCTGCCTGTGTGGGGCACACCGCCAGAAACTGCAGGATTGCGGCTTTCTAGTAACATCAGCCCGACTAAGCTGATATTTACACAGCACTTCCAAGTTCCAAGAGCTTTCTTTGGATTAACTCCTGTGTGCCTCATGGTGACTCTTGAGACAGGTACCGTTGTCACCTCCCTTTCACAGAGGAGGAAGCTGAGGCCCAGAGGGCAGTGCTGGGTTTTAAGCACAGGACACTCACTGATTTGAAATTGGGTCGCATGGCTCCTGAGCAGCATTCTTACCCCCGCTGCTGACTCCGAGCACCTGGAAGCCGATTTGGAGGTCATCCAAAGCACTCACCTTTTTTTAATCCTCACCAGAGGATATGTTTTTCATTGATTCTTAGAAAGAGAGGAAAGGAGAGAGAGAGAGAGAGAAACATCCATCAGTTGCCTCCTGCATGTTCCCTGACAGGGAATTGAACCCCCAACCCCTTGGTGTACAAGATGACGCTCCAACCATCTGAGCCACATTGGCCAGGGCCAAAGCACTCACCTTTGAGCCAGAGAGGAGAGCAGTCACCTTCCCTGACCACTTCATGCCCGGGTGATGGCTCTTTCATTGTCCTGTACCACTCTGCCCCTCCCCCGGTGTGGCCACTAGCTGCATTGTGCTCTAGTTGTCATATGTCTGTCGTACCTCAGTTGGTTGAGGATGGTCTGGGGCGTGCCCTGCACACAGCAGGTGCTCATCAAATGTCTGTTGAATGAGAAGAGAGGGCGGCATTGCCACGTGCAGCACCAATAGCAACCGAATGACCAGACAACTGCCACGCCCCCAGGGCCACAAGGAAGCACCAAGAGGTGGGAACACTCTGAGGTGACTGGGCCCTGTGGCGGGTGCTTGCAGATCTGAAGGGAACATGACCCGAGATGCTCTGAGACTAGCAGAGGAGGCAGACGTGCAAGCCACAGAAACAACACTGATGCTTACAAGAAGTGCCACAAAGCCCATGTGCACACAGACCACACAGGCGGAGGAGGAAGAGCTGGAACCTCCCTGCCAGCATCTGCACAGGTCTCTACCTGGGTTTTACACAGTGCCTCGTCTTCTCCCAACAGCTGGGAGTGGGCTTCTGCCCCTGTTACGGTGCCTCCAGGAGTGGCAGTGCTCCCCTCCAGCCCCGTGGTGCTGAGGCCAAGATGCCCAGGCAGCTAGAGGACCGCTTTTTCCACAGTCTCTGAGTGCCTGCCCATGGCCCTTACGTTGTTGTGGCGGAGCCCCGGCACTGAGTAAACACACAGGCTGTCAGGTGGTGACAGAAGCTGCTGCGCAGACCAAAGCGGCCTCGCCCTCCCAGGCTGCAGTCTCCCCACAGCACTTTGCTCAGGAGATGGAGGGACCCCATTCTCCCCATCTGTGGGCTTGGTTGGGGGGGTACATCCTTTGGAATGACGGAAGGTTGGGAGCTAAGGCTCTGGGACAGGACAGGCTGTTTTAGGAACCAGAGACTTGTGTCACCCCTGCCCTCATCCTCCAGGGAGGGCAGCGGGCTGCAAGTCCTCTGCTGTGGTCAGGTACTTGTGCTCCCCTTCTGTGTCCAGGATGGGGGCTGGGCGGAGGATTTCCTCCTGTCACCCCTGGGACCGGGTGTGGGGGGAGATGGGGGAGTGGGAGGTTACTCCATAGTGAAGAAAATTAATCTTTTGCCTAGTGGAAAATATTAAATCTGGGCTTATTGTCATGGTTTGGGTCTCCCTTAGAGCTATCTGCTCTAAGCTGAGATTCTCTGGGGTTTGGACCCTGCCCCCGAGGAGGTTGCTTGGTCATCAGGGAAGAGAGCAGTGGATAGCAGATTGGCAGGACAGGGTGGCAGAGGCAGGACAGGTGGCACATAGATCATGCAGCACTGGGCTGGGGTCAGGAGACTGGGGCTCTGTGTAGGTCCCCTTTCTAGGGGGAGGGCTCACTTCTGAGTGTCTAAGGGAGAGATTCAGAAGAGACTCCTAGCAGTTCTTACTAAGGCGTCTGAGGGTATACGGCAAACTGCTTTCCTTGCTGACACTCAGCACCTGGTTCAAACGTCTGTATATTTAATAGAAAAACACTTGTGGAAATTCAGTGTGCTGCCCAGTCAGTGTGGCTGATCCCTACATCCTTTCTATGTGAGCAAGTTTCATGGGAGTGAATTTGGGCTTCTTGGGGGACCCTTTACAAGCATCTGGGGGTCCATGCACTAATCGGACTTCCCAGGGGAGGGGGTGCTCTGCAGAGGTTGCACTTCTGCCGTATTACAAAACTCATTGCACACACCCCACGTGGGCCACTCCTAAGGACAGTCTAAAAAGATTTCTGCCTGCTTTTTCTGCTTGCTCCCCTCCTCCCAAAACACAACCATCCCTTTAAACCCTCTCCTCCCCAAGGGTGCATTCAGGCCAGGAAGGCTCTGCTTACCCCAGGCAGTAATAGCTGCTGTTTCTGGAACACTTGCCATGTGTCAGGTCTGGGGATGCTTTGGAAACTTCACCATCCTCCCAGAGAAGCTGCCATTAACCCCACGTTCTAGATAAGAAACGGATCCTCAGAAAGGTTGACTTCCGTGGCCACGCAACCCTTAAATGGCTGAGCTGAGGGCTGTGTGAGTGAGAAACATGGGCAGAGTGGGCAGAATGTGAAGCCACCCTGTATCATGTGTCTGCAGACCTCTCCCGGAGCTCCTCCCCACCCTCACTGCTGGACCAGCTGCAGATGGGCTGTGACGGGGCCTCAGGCGGCAGCCTCAACATGGAGTGCCGCGTGTGCGGGGACAAGGCATCAGGCTTTCACTACGGTGTTCATGCGTGTGAGGGATGCAAGGTATGGGCAGTGAGGATGCTGGCTGGCTGTCAGGGCTGTGGTCACATGGTGAGTTAACCTGCCAAAAAGGCTTTCCCTGCCGAGGCGGGTCCCTGATAATACCCACTGTGGAATTCCTGCCTGGGCTACAGCCAGGGCCTTGCGCCCATTCCAAGCCTCAGCTCTGGGCCCTGCTGGAGAGGAAGGGTTCCCTGTCAGGGCTGCCCTGCTGGGCACCTGCAGCACCGACCCAGGCACTTACCTGGTCTCCCTGGGGACCTGACTGGAAAAGACAGGTGGAACAGAAAAGAGCGGGGCTTAAGCTGAGGCAGGTTCCTGGGCCTCAAAGCCTGAAGGGGGCTCTTTGAGGAGGGAAAAACAGGAACATTACATTCTTTTCCAAGTCTTGCTTTTGGGTTCTTCCTCCTAACTACACCCATCAAATTTTCACATTTTATTAAACCTAGAAGATACGCAGAATCAGATACATTTATGAGTAAATCAAGTTAGTGATGATACAGTTTGTTACCAAATTAACAAAGAAGCATTTAAAGTAATAATATAAAATAATACGGTATATTACAAGTTTTAGAGCTGTTTACCTTCCTTCTCCCACTCCCAACAAAATTCCCCCACTACCAGATTTCAGGAATTTTTACATCTTCATGCATAATTGGGCCCTGGTACAACCTGGTGGGCAATAGGATTCTCCAGCTTTCTCCCTTCCCTGTGGCTTTTCCTCCCCTCTGCACTGCCCCTCAGGGCTTCTTCCGTCGGACGATCCGCATGAAGCTGGAATACGAGAAGTGTGAGCGGAGCTGCAAGATCCAGAAGAAGAACCGCAACAAGTGCCAGTACTGCCGCTTCCAGAAATGCCTGGCCCTGGGCATGTCGCACAACGGTGAGAGCCCACCTGGAACACAGGCTGTTGGCTCCGCACATCTCGAAACCAGCTGTGCCTGGCATGCCGTGGGCACTGCTGAGTGTCAGCTGCTGGCCTTGCTGATCTGAGCCCTGAGTCTTGGAGCCAGCATAAGCCTAGCCCAAGATCTGCTTTCCCCAGACTGCCAGTATCCCCCAGTAGTCCCAGGCTGGGGCAATCACCACCTCTGTACCTGAGGCTCACCCTGTCTGGCCTAGAAGGGAAGTGAGAATCGACCCCAGCTCCAGTGCTGTTGGAAACACCACTCCTGGAACCTTCAGACTGCTTCGGATGGGCTGGCACAGTGTGAAAGCCTGGGACCCCCTCACTCCCTCCTAGTTACTGAGGGCAGGCGGGAACCAGTAAGTGGCCTCGTGCCAGCTGCCAGGAGCCAGGCGGGAGTTTCCCAGAGGCCAGCCACTCCCAGGAGACAGCCTGCTGAGCCCTGTGCTCTAGGCCTCCTGCAGTCTCATCTTCAGGCCCCACAGAGTAGGATTTTGCAAAGTCCACCTGCTCCCGCTTTACACCTCTGGGTTACACCCCTGGAGGACAGGGAGAGCCTCCTGTTTCAATGCCTTCACCCATAGATACCCTGATTGCCTTGCATCTCAAGGGTGGCAGGACCTGAGGCCCCATCTGCAGCTTTTTTTAGGTGAGGTGGTCTGGGGTTTGATCCCTCCCCTCAGTCTGTATCCTTCCCTCAGTTTGTATCTGCCAGGGCCCCATTCCTTGGCTGCAGTGAGGGGATACCCAGGAGATCTCAGGGTTGACTGAATTCTTTTTCTCTGAGAGAAGCCAGATTTGTTTCCTGTCCCATTGCTAATAACTACAGTTTTTAAAAATATATCTTTATTGATTGCAGAGAGGAAGGGGGAGGGACAGAAAGTGATAGAAACATCAATGATGAGAGTCATTGATTGGCTGCCTCCTGCACTCCCCCTGCTGGGGATCAAGCCTGAAATCTGGGCATGTGCCCTGACCGGGAATCGAAACATGATCTAGATCCTAGGTCAATGCTCAACCGTTGAGCCAGGCCCATGGGGCAATGGCTACAATTTTTAACTGCTTACCATGTGAATTACTTAATTGCTCTGACAACCCAGTGAGATTTGAGTGCCAGCCCCACTTTTCTGATGAAAGAAAACGAAGTGGCCTGTGGAAGCCGCAGGGGTAGTTACTGCCTAGCTGGGACTCGGGCACAGGCTGCTGATGCCAGACTGTTTTCCTGCCTGCCATGCTGCACCGCCCCCCCC